TACCCTCACCACCGGGGCATGATGAAGAGCTGATGGAAGTCGAAATAAGCTTAAATGTCGTTTCCCTCGGTCGTAGGTATGCTTGGAAGAGGTTTCGCTTTACTTCGCGAGCAAAAAGCCGCCGCAACTCGGGAAGTGTGTCATCGTCCGATTGTGGTGGTGTGGGATGGCTCGCCGAATATGAAGGACATCTCGATAGCTGATGCCGATAAAGATGAGCTCGTTGAGAGACGCCCCTCCATTTACGGTTCAGGAGCACAAGAGACGCAAAGCCGTTGGGGTCGGTTTGTCGGAGAATCCTAACAGGGAACGACGAATGTTAGCACATGATAAAAGGAGAGAGTTATCACAACGGCGCTTGTCAATGACACCAATCGCTCAACGCACACGAGGATGAGTTGGATGTAAAAGTTGCAAAGAAATCCTGAGTATACTCACTGTTCAATGATCTCGTCGGGCAATCTGTCGAAAGGCGGAGTTGGAGAAATGGGCATCTTCTCGATACTTGAGCGACGGACATCGGTTACCGACGCGTCCATGACGCTTTGTCGCTCTACGGTGGGAAGCCGACGAGCATATCAGGTCGATGAGTCGCGACTATGCCTAGGAGAAAGCGAGACAGGCGGAGATTGTGTCTTGAGGAGTGAGTCTTTGTTGTAGAGTCGAATTGGTTGGTGCGAGTCCAGATCTGGAAGCAGGTGTCGGAGTGTGGCTGAGGCTTCCTGTTCAGCTCGAGGCGTGACGATGGCGGGTTCCCTTTTCGTGAAGACGGAAAGTTTGGGGGCGATTCGATGTAAGCACTAAGTAGAAGGTAGGTACTTGATTTAGAGAACAAAGCAGAGCGCGACACACAAGACTGAATTGAATTGAGAGGAAAATGATTGTTTGGATGTTTTGCATTTCCTTAGATACAGACATAGAACAAATAGCAACACACTCGCTACCTATGGAAGATCGGCATCCTGCCAAAGCTTAACCAATAGCCCAGTTGCGTTTCCCATATTTAACCCCTAAACTTGGATGTCCAAGAAATCTGTAGACATCATCGCCTCCATGGCTAGCTAAGAAGCTACTAAGATATGCCGTCCAGACCCTAGTGCATGGAGCGTGTTAACGTGTCTTTTCTAAGACGAGCCGAAACTAAAATTATTGGAATACCAGGAATGGTAAATATCACGTATGACCTTCGTGGAACAATCTTCGAGACAATCCGACTCTTTGATTCTTGTCTGTTGATTGGACACATGTCTCTGACTCCACTTGAGGCCAAAGGGGAAGAGGCCGAGGAAAAGAGATGCCCTTCTATTAGACAAGGCCTGACAAGTTTATGCTATACTACCCCAATATTAGGTTATTTAACCATAACCTTATAATGTTGTATCAGGTTTATAATTGTGTCCTTGTGATTTAGTAATAAATATAACTGGCTGCCTGGTTGTTTATTGGTAAAGAAAGTTCATAAGTGTTTCCCCTTGCACTCCGTATGTTCCCCACATCTATCCTTGTTCATAGCTATAGCATCATAAGTAGAACGTGCCGTAGAAATATTTCGGCCTCAGAGTCTCGATGTGAAGGTAGCTTTTTGAAAGGGCAATGGTGTCCTGAGGACATTTCGCCAGCCGCTGGACTAGCCAACACCAGGCTTGATCGAGGCGTAGCATTGCAGCTGAGCATGCAGGGTGCTTGGTGAAACCCCAAAAAATGAGAAGGTGAAGCTTATCATGTGAAGTATGGTACTGGATAATTTGAGGCAGATTACCCCGAGACCGACGCGTTCATCAGGGGTAGACGCTTGATGAGCGTTCTATCTATTGATTGCAACGCTTTTATAGTCGACTCAAGTCTAGTCCATTAGTTATCCAAGGTTGAGTGTAAGGACAAGTGCTAGATGTTGTAAATGGTGGAGCAGTGTAAGCGACGTTGACAAATGTGACCCTTTCAGCGTCTGCAGTTTGGTAGTAGTCGAGGTGACATTTCGCGACATTCATATGTCACTGTCTCACGATCAAAGGTCGACTCACAAGCCACAGCAGCATTGAACGCGCATTCGTCCTTTATTGGAATTTCTGGGACGATCAAACCAGAGGTAACATGTTGTCTTTTCTATACTCGCACAGGCAATGTAAGGTCGCACTTCGTTGGTGTGAAGGCGTGGAGCAAACGTAATTCCAGTAACATCCCTTATCGTTCCAGAGAGCCTTCACGGATATACGGAAAAGTCATTATTGGTAACCTTGGCGTTAATCCATAAATTGAGTTATAGCATACCAGAAAGAGGAGAGGCGCAACTAATGCCTCCATTTGGTCTGTTGCACTCATCCATCATGCAACTCTACCACACGAATTTCTCTGCTTCTCCTGCGCTGTTGAGAATGGCTCGGTCAGAAACCAGTTGGTGTAACCCGAGTTTTCATGTCGCCAGCCATATTAAGTAGTGGTCGCTACCTAGGCGAGAGCATCTATAATTAGAAATTGGCAGCGATTCGACCGGGAGTTCGTCCTGTCAGGATACAGTCTAGACTGTTTAGTACATCACTTCCGATGCCAAGGGCAACGTCTCATTGCTGATATCAGAAACGTTATTTAGTGACTGGCATGGAGGACAAGCTAGGTAGGTATACATGTATAATAACAAGGCAGCAAGGATACTACAGTCTATAGCTGAATATCGAACCTCAATAAAATTTGATATTTGTCCGGTATGTGATGAGCCGCTTCCAACTTTTTCTTCCCGAAATCAATAGTCTCAAAGGATGGCGGGTGGGCAGAACGAGCCAATCCTTTGACCTGGCATTATTATTATGTGACATGATTAGTGGTGGCTGTGTTTGGGTAGTAACAGCTTACAATCGGTATCTGACATGTTATATTTCAAAAGTCACTTGCTTTTGTTGCAATTTTGTTATCTATCGGCCCCTTTTTGAGAATGAAGTCGTTGCATTCTAGGGTTCGGCTTTATTCAACCCATGAATGCAGTCTAATAATAGAGCACGTTATGCCTACCTCCCGGACATAATCCGGACCATGACCACTGGCTGTCAAAAGTGTCAAGCATTTCGCTTGCGCCTCATCAACGCAGAGAATACGACGGGATTAATACGTACAACGGCGCTTCTTACAGGCACGGCCCGCCCCTTTAGGTAAATCCCCAACTCTAAATCATCATGATCATCAGTGTACAAATAGGTAGGTCACATATGCAAAGTCCACTGAAGTTCCAAGCGATTGAAGTAATATTGGAATTTTCCAAACTTTTTGGTGCGCCGGAACGCACAGACAAGAGAGGAGACCCCTGAAAAATGGGCTCAGCCGGTCGATAGCCGATGGACGACATGGCACCAGAGGTTGTCAATCAATGTCATCGATTTCAGCCCTGGGCCTGTATGCGTGGCCTGGCAACTTCCGCCGCGCTTGGCACAATGTGGAAATGACATGGAAGCGTGGGAAGCCTGTTAGCTCGCAGATCGGTTGCGGGGTTTACAGAGACAATGTGGAACTTGTAGCTTGCTTTAGAGTCGACAGAAACGGCAAGATCATCCAGAGCTCTTTGGTGTTTGTTTACGTACTATCAACCTCAACGGATGGAGTTCCTCCTGGACAAGGTCCCTCTAGGCCGTAATCTCTTTGTACCTCGGCATATCTAAAGGCGAGCAAGCCGAGTTGATTGGTCTATACAGGCATGTGAAGAGAGGGAATATCCATGTATATATCCCCGAGTATCAGTTTGTCTTGATAACCTGATCTGATATTGCTCTCTTGACTTGTCTGTGAGCCACTTAGATATTTCTTATATCATATATATCTCACTTAATCTACGTCATCGAGATCCGAATTCCACAACGTTCAGTCGGTCATGATTCATTTGGTAGCCTTCCAAGTTGTTGAGCGCATCACACCCTAGGTCGATATTTCCCCCAACTACTCCATGGCGAGACACACCCGAACCAATCATCCTTTTCAGTCTGTCTGACCTCCATTTCTGGTAATCTTCTAGTCCATGATTATGGACCACCCCGTTACCTGGTCCAATGCTCAGCCAAGGCGGGGACACGGAGATGTGGAAGCTCGCGAGTCAGGGACCAGCACCTAAAAGAAGGCGCCAGCAAATACCGAGAGCCCTACCAATCCAAGACTTTGGAGTAGATCTGAGGCTGGCATCATATCCGTCCAAGGAAGGAGTGGGCCAATACCTCATTTCCGGGCGATCACACTAGAGCCGAAAGCTAACACAAACACAAACACGCTTGACGAAAAAGTGGACAGTATTGACATGCTTATCTACTTAGCAAAGTTACAAGCTTAACGGACTTGGATAAGCTTGCGAGACTGATTTTTCGAGAGCCTAAGCTACCTAACTCAAAGAATCATCTCAACTGAACGGAACTGAATGATGAAGTAGGGCTGTTCTTTGAAACTCGAAGGCGGCGAACTTGGAGAGCTAAAGACGAATGAGGCAAGGCTAGATATAAGAAATGTCGTCTTCTAGAACCGAACCAAGATGATCTTCAGGCATCGTAGATCTAGACCCAACGATATCCCAGAAAGGTTGCAAGAGCCTGACGAGGGGAATCCTGCCCGCGCCTCATTAACTAGCTTCTCAACTCACTTGTCTGCAGACTAATTACAGGCTTGCAGCATTTTAAAACATGCATTTCAGACTCAACGAAGAAGGTTTTGCGTTACTAGTTTTATCTCATTTAATTAAATAGCGGAAATATGCAGCCATCGCGTGCTGGGTGGAAGAAAAGATCCGTCCGTCAACGGTTGGGCTGGGGCTCTTCTTCTCTCTCGGCAAGCCTGGCGTGGGTATAGCAAAGGCGAGTAAGTGTCTCGTAGAGCAAACATGGTGGCCACTGAGGGTTCCCAGGCCGCCAAGAAGCATGAAAGTACACACTTGGGAGAGAAAACCTCTCTTTTCCCGGCGCTCCTACAACCAGGTTGTCATCGGATAGGGGATCACCACGGCATCCATCCAGAATCCCCCGCGGACGATCTGATCTGCCGTGAAGCCTGAGGCACCCCTGTTTATTTTCCAAGGTAGCTGCCTAACGTGTCGTGTACGGAGGCAGTAATTGTTAAGGTAGTCCAGGTTGACTGTGCCTTTTTCTGTAGGTCCCGGCTGTCTTTCAAATCTCCTTGGCGGCACACAACTTATGCAATGAAAGTACCCAAGCATGACAACTCCTTTGTATAGGTTGATGCCTCTGAGCCCTCGTGTGCAGGCTCTGCAACAAGATGCAACGACAGAAGTTTTGACTCTGTTTCCCGTTGAGAAGAAAGAAGGTTTATTGACTTATGGTTTACCAAAGTCATGTGGACTACTGTGTGAGACTTTGTTACAAGATCTGGTAATATTTACCCTTACGTTATTCTTTTTCTTGGAGTAACTTAAACCCCTAGTTTTATCACATGTTAATGCTTTGTAGGAAGAGGACCTCAAGTCGTGGGCTAGAGGTTTTGGAATGGTCATTAAAGATCTCAAAATGCCTGAAATTAGCCCCCAGGCTTTTCGTCTCGAAAAAGGCAACACTTCGGCATTGCTAAAAGGGTATACTGCAATTGTCGTGGCCCTCGGAAACACCAAATACGACGTTGAGCTCGTTTCCAGAGACAAACGGTCTTCGCAGAAGGAGACATGGGAACCAACATCTGCCCTTCATCTCCGGGAAACAGGGCTGAAAGCTCAAGGAGGACACATAAGGTTCCTCTACATCCCTCTCCACCTGGAACCCATATAGAGTTTCCCATAAACGACAAGTTCTATTTCATGATGTGTATCATATCATGTTCCGTATCCGTGCTCGAAACGATACTCCAGGTGCTGTCTGGGCTGCCCGTCGACCTTGCCTTCGACTTCGTCTGTGACTTCGATCTCGCCTTCGCCTTCGCACCGCCTGGCTCTAGAGCCTTTTCGATTTGTTGCAGACTGTTGATTGTGAGTCCAAAATTCGACACAGGAGTGACGTGGCACCGTCACCTACCTGACCTTCCCGTCACAGAGATCACAGACGAGACTTGGAATTCGGAGTAACTCTGAGGGCAGTTTGTTGTTTGGACGATGCGCAAAAGCAGACTCTCTGCGCAGTATCGGGAAGCATTCGACGGTGAAGTGTTGGCCAAAAGTAAAATACGAGTTTACTGGTTTGTACGTTGTGAGAACAAAGAATCTTGTATCAAATAGATCGAGCGGGTGCTCGAGACAGCCTACCTCTCAACGGGAGCTCATAAGCCCGTGGTCCCAGCACTTTAGCAAGTTCATCGCCAATCTGTACACACTTGGGCAGTGCAAATCGCTTGGATCTAAGAGTATCGCTGCCTCCAGTAACGCATTTAGCCATGGCATCCATAACCTCGTTTATCGTAAGGCCCTGGTCATGAGCCACGTGACAAGCTGCAACCATGACCATGCAGTGAAGCTGAGTTTCCCGTCCCTCAAAGTCTTTGGAAGCAGCGGCATAGGTCTCGAGTAGAGTGAGCCAGTCCATGTCCCGACGCGACTTAACGTGAGAGATGGTCAGCCGATCACGCAGACGTAGAATGTCTTCCGGCGTCGAAGGTCTGTTGTTGTCCCAATCCTCGTCCCCTTGAGGTAACTTCGACATCCACGCCTTAACCCATTTTATCTGATCATTCAGACCTCTTCTTCGGACGGGCTTCTGGGGGACTGGCTTTCCGGGTTCTTCTTTGATAAATTCGGCGGTAAAACCTGGCGACTGTGAAGAATACATGATGTACGGATCCGCTAGAAGTCTTCTAGATCCAGGAACCCGGAGAATGGAGCATCCATGAATATCATGAAGAACCGCAGGTTGGGTTCCCCAATGTGTCAGATAGCGGACTGGTTGGTCTATATGGGGGGCTTCCAGTCGGCAGCCGATTGTGCCGCCGAATTTTTGATTTGAGCTCAAGGAAGATTGCTTCCGCCAGGATTCTCATCTGTCGGGTGCATTTGAGCCACACCTCGCCTTACTTCACGCCCTGGTGCTGCTGCTCCTGGGAGGTGGGAGAGTGGGAGAGTGGGAGAGTGGGAGAGTGTCGGGTTCATCGGCAGGCATCAGGAGCACAAGAAAGAAAAGCTGGGTCTGTCTCTGTATTTTGCAGGGTCCGTTAACAAAGAAGCCGAAGCCATTGTGTCATTCCCACTCAAGAGGTGACAGTGGCGTCTGGTCATAGGTCATTAATGGGGTGCACCCAGACAAACCGAATGGCCCAATGCCACGTCCTTCTCTTCAGCCTTGTAAGAGCATTCCAACTCTGGACAGCTTCGGATGAGGGCCAGTTATGTTATTAATGTGAATGTGATTCTGATTTGCATAAACTCCTCTCGTAGATCAGCGAATATGATGCCCCTCTTCCCAGTCTGTGCAGCCTAGCAGCCCATGTAGGCAGGTGGGACAAGGTTCTTTATTGGTTGCGAACCATCTCAACCGGATAATTTCATGATTGAAAAGGATTTTCTTTCCAAGTCCCCAACGGATAGAGACCTTCCTTGGCTGGACCATCGGTCGATAGCGTATTACGCCAGGACCAGCCTACCAGTGAGCCGACGAAAAAGACAAGGGAGAAGTGACAAGAGCAAACTTCCGCAGACCAAGCTAACACTGTACCTGTAAGCCTGCTGTATGTACCATACCTGGTCTGCCGGGGCAAGGGGAGTTGCTGTTCCGCAACCTCCTCGCAGTTCCAAAAACTCGGGCTAGCGAATGGCATCAAGCCGGATTTAACCCCTAGATCTACGGTGAGGAGCGCTTGTGGCCGGACTAGGGCCTTTGGGCTGGAGCCTGTTAGCGTCAAGAAAGATATGTGGGCTTGCAGAAGCCAGAGGGCTTGTTTCAACGGCCTGACAAGAGGAGTGCGGCTACAATTTGGAGTCTAGCGCTGTCGATCAAGCTGTTCAGGTTGCCAAGTTCTGCAGCTGACGAGGGTGTCGGCAGCCTCATCATCCCTCATGTTGGCGGATGTCGAGCTGCTTGAAGCCGCTGCACTCTGAACTGTCGCTTGTCAGTCTCCGTGTGTCGTTTAGAACTTTTTACGTCGCTGGGCGATGATCCTTCCGCAAACAAACAACCTCAAAAGCAACGTGGGCATGGGTGGGTATGGTGTCGTGGGGAGGGCGGGCGGGGTCTCGATGAGTTCGGTTACGCGTGGGGTTTTCTGTTGGAATATTATGTCAGCCGCGCGCGTATGGTGAGAATGTGTGGCTGTCACAAGATTGTGGCACAGATAAATCTGCCAAGCCTGATAAGAAAAGGCTGACGTTTATCAGGGATAGACGCAAAACACCCCTGAAAAAAAGCATGTGGACCCGCTCATGTTTAATCTCACCTAAAGTTGAGGACAGCTTGGACTGTCGCAAAACCTCATGAACTTTACCTTCTAGTCATTCTTTTGCTGCTGTCGTCTGGTATTCTCGTTCTGCTGCGCTCCTGAGCGCATCTCATTACTCAACAAGTCTATAACGTTCGCTCGATGGCGGTTCGCTTCAATGGACGGTGATCCGGCTGTTGACCCGGGGCTTGACTCCTTCAGCTTGGCTTTTCCTTTGCCTTATCGTGTTGGCTTTATTGCGACTTTGGGTGAGCACGAACCCTATTCTGGTCGCATTGCCTGTTTCTAACTGATGATAGCTGTTTGGGGATGGGGATTAAACCTTCATTGTCTCTATCTTTTCAACGTCGACGTTCCACAGTTGATTCGATATCCCGGTCGAGCGTCGCCGCAACATATTCCGCATCATGGCTCGACGTACCGCCTTGCTATTGCGCTTTCGGCGTTGTTCGCACTATCTGTTTCTCTGTTTTGGGTTTGCACATGGGGCATGCCTGAGCGTGTCGTTGCTTTCGGATGGATGCCGTTGACATATCTCACTGCTTTGATTGCTATGTTCGTTGTTCCGTTGAGGAATCTGCCCAGCGGAGGAAGAAGAAGATTCTTGGCAACTTTGCGACGCGTGAGCTTGGGCGGGCTTGCTGAGCCGCAGGACGGCAAGTTTGGAGATATTCTGTTGGCCGATGTGTTGACATCATACGCGAAGGTTTTTGGAGATCTCTTCATTACCCTATGCATGTTCTTCTCGGCGGAAGGTTCGTCTACGCAGCGACCTGATCGAAATTGTGGAGGAACAGTGCTCGTACCATTCATTATGGGAGTGCCGAGCTTGATACGATTTCGGCAGTGTTTGATCGAATACTTTCGAGTTCGGCGAGCCCCATACAAAGAGTCCACAGGATGGGGTGGGCAGCATCTGGCCAACGCTCTCAAATATTCAACTGCATTCCCCGTGCTCATTACTAGTGCTTGGCAAAGATCGGCAGTAGACCCCGAATCCAAAGCAGCTCTTCACAAGGCTTGGCTTGTTGCTGTACTCATCAACTCTCTCTATTCTTTCTATTGGGATGTGGCCAAGGATTGGGACATGACTCTTTTTTCTCCGAAGCAAGATCGCGAATCACCTACTCATCCTTTTGGACTTCGAGATCGCCTGGTTTTTAGGTATCCTAACCTCTACTATCTAGTGATCGGCATGGATCTGATGTTGAGATGCACGTGGTCCATGAAGCTCAATGGACGCCTGGATAGGTTCAGCGATCTAGAGGGAGGCATCTTTCTGATTGAATTCCTTGAAGTGTTCCGTCGATGGGTATGGATCTTCTTCCGTGTCGAGACAGAATGGTTGAGAAACAACTCTTCAGGCCTTGGAGTCGACGACATCCTACTTGGAGATTACCAAGGCAAAGACAACGAGGACGATTGATGGCATCATCAACGAATTCATTTGGAGGCAACGGCAACCCAGACGGCGGTCAACCCGGCCAACTGGGGCGGTTTGTGTAGAAGTACGACTTTCATTGAGATAGTCAACCACGCCTTTGGAGCAAGGTTTGGCCACAGCTGGACTCTTTCCCGTATTTCTATGCTCCTCACCAAGTCAACATTCCTGACTTAGGCTTTGAGCCGGGTGAGATACCCTAATAAATCAGGGTTTGGCCGGCAAAGGCTTGAGATGCCACGAGGCCATTCCCGATAACTGGGAAAGTTTACAGATTTATGATTATGACCTGACGATCTTACTATCATGGCCCGAATGGCTCGTCCCGCGTCTACTTGTGATAGCTTTGCCCCTCCTGAATAAAGGTTCGATCTAATTACAAATATGGTTATATCAAGACAAATTGGAACTGCGTGAAAGATGGCGATGCTTCCGGAAACACATAATATCGCATGTGGTGAATCTTGGAAGTACCGGCCTCGTGGGCGTGTGTGATGGCGCTCTCTGGCGCCTAGCAACTACTTTGCAGCATTGTTTCTTACTCTCGTCTTGTTTGTGGCCGTGGCCACACGGCTTTCAACGATGATGTCTTTCTGCAGTGCGCGTGCTTTTCAGGCCGCCACATCCAGATGCAGAAGATGTTTTGAGATCTTCGTTCACTTATCCGAAAAGGAAGATGAGAAGACCGACTTTTTCCCTTTGTGAGCACTTCGCGAGGCTTGGGCGGTCAGTCTTCGCAATCAAGACACTTAGTGAAGGGAAAAGCTTGCTGGAATGCTACTCACGGTCTTGGCCAATATGTGTCGCTCGACTTACTGAGCCTAGACTCAAGCCTCCCGCCACAACCCGCTAAATCCCAGGTGACTCCGGAGGCAAATGGGATTCTATAGGCTTGATCATATCGCCGGACTATGACGGCTCAAACTCACAATTGCCTGGAGAAACTCACAAGATGTAGTTGGCGACTCAAGGCCACGCAAAACGAGGCTTTTCCTCCTTCTCGCATTATCAACACTTTCTTTACTCATGCTTCCTTCGAATTCAACAATACAGTCATTTCAACGGTATCGACCTCTCGAGGTGATATCAAAAGGATAGGCAGTTCTTTTGGAGGGAGATCAGCTCGAAGTTTGCAGTACCTGTCCAAGAACAAAGGGAACCGTGCGCTTTCAAGGTTAGATCGGGATCCAGCTCCTGTCGTTCGCGAGACCGCCATTGGCAGCCCAGGGTTGCAAGCCGACAAGTCCTGCATGCAGGGCCCTGACCCTGCGATATCCTGACGCGGCCGACTTACACAGCAAACGTTAAGGCCGGGCCATCGACAAGTACGGACAGTCAACCAAGATGACAAGTTGCACACGCCCAGTGAGCAGTATCGAACTCGTACTGCCACCTCAAAACGCATACCTTTACCGTAATAGGCCTTTGCCCCTACCTCCAACGACACTCTCCAGGACTTCATCAAAAGCGAAACCACCAAGATTCAGTGCTTTTCCGCAGACATTGGGCCCAGGAAATGATCCCAAAGCGTTACCTCAACAACCCCCTGTGATTGTTCCCAAGGCTTTAACAAGACAAAGGGCATCGCGTATGAGTATATCGGGCACTACTTCACTCCGTGAACGAAGGTCATCTCAGAAGATTCAACAAATTACAGGCCACGACGTCGGACCTGGTATTGATTGGACATCCGCTGTATCTCGACCTCAATATTCACCTTCCATTTCACCCAAATCAATGCGAGACGACTCGTCGAGTGGTTACGGCATCTCGTTAGATGAACCCATATTTGATGATGAGCCTACACCACTCGCAGACTATCAGCCAAGATCTTCTGACAGCAGCATGCCTCCCCTCGAGCCAGATTGTGATAGCGTGTTGAGCAACCACAGCTATACATCTCCGGATTCACCTAAAGCCCAAAGAGGATCTATTTCACTACATGTGGCTAAGACAAGGCGCTTCAGTAGTGCAACATCAACAATGGCAGCATTAGAACCAGTTCCCACCCTAGAAGACCCATTCGATGAAGACGTTAATTGGCAAGCCGGGTCATGCTACAACTACTTCAGCGACCTCGAGACAGCGGATGAGTATCATCGCATTGCCACCAGATTAGCCAACAACGACAAACGGCAGTCCATATCCGGTGCTTCTTCTCTTACACGATCCCGCACCTCACTCAGTCGACGTCTCAGTGTCGGAGCAAGATCCCTGTTTACACGAAGGAAAGACTCGGCTTTGTCCGCGAGCTCTAGCCGAGCATCTCTAACGGCCGCCAGCTATCCCACAAAGGGGCCATATTCACCTTCAATACCTCCTTCTTCAGAAACTGCGAGTGTTATTTCTCCACCGCGTAGTACGTTCGAGATCGATGACGAAGACGAGCTGTATGCAGACGATGGCAGTATGAGGGAGGTCGTCAAGGATTTCTTTGCGCGGAGAAGTGAGGAACGCAACTCGATGGAGCTGGGAGTGCCTCGTTCTGTACCACAGTTTTCAGAGAAGTCACCAGAACACAAGTCTTTGTCAAGGACAGGAGTGCAGGTCAAGGACTTGATCTCAAATGCGCGTGATGGGGCGAGGTTAATTCAAGCAAGAGGTGAGAGGAGAAGAACTCAGCTCAGAACTCAGATCAAGATGATTCCAGAGGAGGAGGTTGGACGTTGAGTGATAATTATCAAGAAGACATGGCACTGCCTGAATGAGGTCTTGCTTGGTGTTGCATTTGAGCGTGGCGTGTCATATTAAACAAGATTCCCCCAAAATGTTATTCGATTAATTCAACCGCTTATTAGACTCGAACTAGATCTGAGAGCAAAGTGATATCGACATAAAAGATGATCTGCAAGGTCAAAGTGATTCGGTGGCAGACCCTGGCTATTCTTTACCACTTCCCTACCTTGACGGCTCAGAAGAGATCATATAAAATACTTATTCAACATGCCTATATATAACAACAATCATAAAAACCAAGGCTAAGCTTATACCTAGTTTTCATTAGAATAGTCTTGAGGTTTATAGTTAGAACCCCAAGTCATACGTAGTATATGATATTAATCCACAACCTACGTTGATGATGATAGGTTTAATTAATCATTTTAAGCTTATGGCAATATTTTGATATGTGACGCTGAAGTCGAGCAAGCTGAGTTAATCTTCAATCGTATGTCGAGAACAATAGATGGACTATTGGGGATTTCCCTCTCTTTCTCGTCGCTTCTCACCTATAGTCTACCCACCCTGAGATAGCATAACCTTACCTGGCTGTTACCACTACTCAGATGTTTTTTTCTTTCCCTTATAGCCTATCAATCCTAACGAGTACCGTAATACGCCTTGTCTCTGTCTTCCAGTCCCATCGACTTATTGGTTCTCTTCCGAGCCCCGCCCCCGCAGATTCAGATCCATTGAGATCCGGAGCCGGAGCGGCTTCCTGACCGAGGCAACTTTTAGTTTACTTATCCCTTCCATCCCAAGGCTCAACCTTTAGACTAACAACTGTTTGACCCAAAAAAATACATTCGTATAACAAAACATCACCTAGGGAACAGGTTCAGTGATTGAGCTTGTCCTCTCTGGGCGGTTAGAGTTTCGGCCCTCGTTGATCACCCATCATGATCTACGATACAGGGGCCTCTATCAATAACGAGACCTCAACTGAGACACGGACTGAAAGCCACAGCATCACCGACGCTGACGTCGTTGAGGCGCTACAGAAGGGTATCCGCGAAGCTACCAGGGAGGAGCTGATTAACCACGGAGAGGCGTCGCTGTATTATGACTCTCTGACCATGTCGCCCTTGAACGCTATGTCCGCTGTGAGTTGAGTTGTTCACCTGTGCTTTGCTTGTCATCCGCATATCTCACATCTTGCTGCTTCAATGCGTCTCTTGAGCGATTCTTCACATACATACTGCCGATTGCTGACCAACATCATATCTCGCAAGGCCGCTATTGCTCGTTTCCGTGCATACAAGCCTCCTCCATTTCCACTATGGGATCGTCTACCCGTTCGAAGACGGGCTGCTGTCTTGATACTGCTGTATGCTGACCGTCGCGGCGATTTACGCGTGGTTATTACCATGCGCGCTGCAAGTCTAAGGAACTTTTCTGGTCATGCTGCCTTTCCTGGGGGCAAGGCAGATGATCTTGAAGAGACACCATGTAAGGCGTTGTTCTCAAGTGCCATTGCTCCTATATTAATTTCGTTACAAAGTCCAAATCGCCCGCCGAGAAGCTTGGGAAGAAATTGGACTTCCCATGGATGATAGCAAACTTCCTAAACCCTTCCGTGTCGAGCATCTTTGCTATCTACCCCCTTCTTTAGCTCGGACACACCTCGTCGTGAGACCATGCGTTGCATTCCTCCACGCGGACCAGCGGACAGCAGGAGAACCCGCACCGACTGTTGAAGAAACCATGATTCCTAGACTTGACGCGCGCGAAGTCGCCGCCGTCTTCAGTGCGCCCTTTTACAATTTCCTTCAGGCGCAAGATCTCCCTCCCGCCCCTGGCGAGACGCTGCCTGAAGGACAATGGTACGATGGCTTCTGGAATCACTGGAAAGACCACCCCTGGCGGGTACACAACTTTTACGTCCCAGTCAACAACCAAAGCATCTCGAAGCCACGGCGAGATAGCGAGCAAAGCCGTTTGGGTGATAAGCTAGAAGAAGAGGAACCAGATGGGAGATTCAAGGTCTGGGGAATGACGGCGCGCATATTGGTGGACGCAGCGAGAATTGCATATGCACAGGAGCCTGGATTTGAGCATAACGACAGTTTTGGTGATGAAGAGATCATTGCCCACGCGGATAGCTTGGGGGACCTGGGGGAGAAAATTCCAGAGAAGCGAGCTGAGCCTGGCGATGCGTCAAAGATGTAGAGGTTTGAATGCATAGAAATAGAACCAAGATTGATGAACGTTAGGTCTGAGATTGCCAAGAGATTTAGAGAGGCAGAGAGTGTTGAGCATTTATACTGGTGGATCATGATGGAAACTATCAAGCTTTAGGTTTCTATTTGCAATAATTTAGACTTCGAGACTGGTTTGGCTTCGTCATGGCCCTTTCACAAACGTCCAACCCCTCTAATGACAGGCGTTATCCTTGGTAGCAGAAGTTCGCTTTCCAAAGAATAGATATCCAAGAAACGCGCCAAGAGAAACAGCAATCATAACCCAGCCGTTGTATGTCATGAAAATGAGCCTTGTTTTGTTAGAATTGTACGCTGTTAACAATCACGGTACACCCGGGTACTTACATGAGCATGAATGCATAAAAGTTCTGTAGACCATACAAAACAGCCTTGATGAGGTGGGCACGCTGATCGGCTTGTCCCTGGGATTGTCCTGAAAGGATGGGAGTCGACTCAGTAACGGGAACATCAAGACCTCACGGGAAGACTTAGCAGGGCAATTTCCCCCAAAGAGTAACACAGACAAGGCAAGGAGATACAGAGCAACATTCTGGTTTTGTTCTTGGGGTTCCTCAGAGAGGAAATGTGTTTATGCGGTCGGGGGGGGAGGAGGAGGAGCTTACTGGGTGTGGCTCGGACGCGATTATCGAGGGCTTCTTCGTAGCGTCGCGAGAGGGAACGGAGAGCTTCGTAGCCGACGGCGAGGAGAATTACAGCGACGAGAGAGAAGAAGAGAGAGGCTGTCGAGCGAACGTGCCATTGGCGGAAGACGATGCAGAGATTGGTGGTGTCCCAAGTGAATAGCATCTACGACCATCAGTATTTGTATATATAGATAGGAGGAGATGGCATCATACGTTCATGCTGCAAATGTCCTTCATGCCTCCTCCGTGGCCATGGTCCATATCTCCGTGGTCCATTCCGCTGTGGCTCATGCCGCTGTGATCCATGTGTGCGTGATCCATTATCGTGTTATCGTAATTCTTGTTCGTTTGTTCGTTTGATCGTTATGAGTTGTTGGATTTGAGTCGGGAACTTTTCCAAGGCGTAGTGTATTGATATAGAGCTGCTGGAATTAATGAAACCAGCTCAAACGTGCGCAGGGTCAGGCGGACCCCTTCAGATGGTGGTTAGAGGTCGGTCGATAGCGATAGCAAGGGAGTGATGCTGGATGGGTGGGTGGAATGACGCGACATTCGAGGTACTTGGTTTGACACAGTAAAATGTGTGGTGACCAAAGTACAGTGTCTCAGGTCGGTATCACAGAGGGAAGGGTCGTCCCGACGGGCCCTTTCGTCCTCTATACCAACGACTAACAAGTATCAAATGCCGCGGAACTGCGGGGAGCGCTACCACGGCTATTCCATCATTTATTCATGATTATCAGAGTATATAAAATACTTCTCTTCTATTATCCTGAGTATCTTTTTGGAAAGTCGCGTTTTATGTTATTGGTTGAAGTCAGTCTCTCCCGTGACATCCGCAACTACTTACAAATTATCCACAGTTGACTCCCCTCACTCTTATCAATCTTCGACTTCAATTATACCTTAACATTTATATGCCTCTACTGTCCACTATTGGTTTCTCACCTTTACTTATAACTCTACCTGTGTACTCGGATATACGAGTAGCCATCTCATTATGCTTGGGCCACCAGTCAACCTTCCAAAGTGGTGAGTAAACTCTGACTCTATACAATTCGAAACAGAATATGGAGCAGACTCACTAATTGACCCATTATGAGTACAACAGGCTTGAACAAAACTCTCATCTCCTGCAGCCCCCTATCAACAACTACTGTGTTTACAATGAAGACTTTAGTGTCATGGTAACTCACGCTTTACTAATACTCTTATACTTCACGTGGAGAACATAGCTAACATTTGTCATTAGATCGTTGGTGGTCCAAATGCCCGCACTGACTACCATATCAATCAGACTCCCGAATGGTTCTACCAATACAAAGGTGCAATGATGCTCAAAGTCGTCGACGAGGGTGAATTCCGTGACATCATCATCCGTGAAGGTGATATGTTCCTCCTACCGGGAAACACACCACACAACCCCGTCCGCTTCGCGAACACAGTTGGAGTCGTCCTAGAGCAACGTCGTCCTAAGGATTCACTCGATCGCATGCGCTGGTACTGCGCTGACTGTGGTGAGATTGTTCACGAGGCTGCGTTCCATTGCACCGACCTTGGCACTCAAATTAAAGCGGCGGTTCAGGACTTTAAGAGCAGTGAGGACAAGAGGACTTGCTCCAAGTGTGGTACTTTGGCTGATGCAGCACCGAAGCCGGGCACTATCCAGGATCCCAATCTGGGGTGATCCATCAAAATGTAGCAAAAGGTTGTATTAAAAGGTCAAAGGGGTGGCGTTTGGGTATGAAATGTGGTGATGTAGTAGTAGTTGCGGGAAAATGCCTCTCATAGCTTGGTATTCTACAGACTCATATCGAAAGTTTTTACTATACAACTCACTTAAACTAGTTCATCTTTTTAAGTCTCAGCAAAGCTATACGAGCTAGGCGATTCCTCCACGGGAATCTCAATGGCACCCTCCTCCAGCTCCTTTCCATCAAATCTCACACCCGCGCGAACAACATCACCCGGTACAGCAGGACCAACACCGGCAGGTGTTCCAGTAAGGACAATATCTCCGGGGTGGAGAGTCATAACCTTGGAGATGTCGCTCAAGATACGAGGAATCTGGTAGATCATGAGGTTGGTTGAGCCCTGTTGCTTGGTCTCACCATTAAGCTGGAGGAAGAGCTCAACATTGTGAGGGTCCTCAATGGCAGTCTTGGGGATGATGTTGCTCAGAGGCAGGAAAGTATCGAAACCTTTGGCGATGTCCCACGGGAGTCCCTTCTTCTTGGCCTCGTTCTGGGCGTTGCGGGCGGTGAAGTCAATGGCGATAGCGTAAGCTAGAGATGGTTAGCCTTTCATGATTCGTGACAATCCCGCAGCTTGACGCACCTTTGATAGCATCAAGAGCTCCCTGTGTATCAGAGGCTTGAAGATCTCGGGTGAGCTTTCCAATAACCAGAGCCAACTCAACCTCATAGTGCATGTCAATGCCCTTGGGCCTCAGGACGGGGCCCTCGCCTGGTAGGACAATGGAAGACGTAGGCTTCAGGAAGAAGAAGGGCTGCTTGGGTTTGGTGTTGTTCAGCTCAGCAATATGCTCCCTGAGAGATAGTTATCAGTTTATGTCATAGTGGTTGAGTTATAGGTGAACATACGCAAAGTTGCGGCCGATGCAGACAACCTTGCCGGCTTGCTTGAGGGTAGACGTAGCTTGAGGGGCCATAGTAGCCATTGTGCGTCTCAGAGCGAACATGATGGATGATGAATGATGGTTCCAAGAAGAGTTTTGTCAGTGGTAACACTCATTCACTGGCTCAATGGTGAAATAGTTGTATGCTTAAGCAAGCGGTTTCGGAACTGCTCCCCCGATGGAGAAGCTTCGGTCGGAGATGAGTCCCGGTAGTCAAGTCGCGGGGTATCTTTGGACGTAGTCAATACTTCAATTCCGATCTACCCTGCGCCGACTTCGCAATATTATCCAAAGAAGCCATGATTCTATAGTTTCTCCTTCATCGGTTTACTTTCCGATCATACAGTATCTTGGACTATTTCTGGTCTAGCTCAATCGCGTAAACAAAATCATCACCGTACTTTCATGCCTCCTACAGAGTCTTCCTTTACATATTCAAGAGACAATTATCACAATCAAGTCTGAACAACTAGCATGAAACCTTGTACATAATATGAACTCTATCTCACGATATAAATTCGGCTTCTCTTCTATTACCTGCTGGCAAACAACATTCTGCCTGCTATGATTCGATCGCTCTCAAACGGCGACTCTTGGGGTTTACTTAGCAAGGTTCAAGTTAAGACATCACACCTATTGTGGATGCTATCAAGAACGAGGACTCTCAACATCTCATATATTATAATTCATAATACCTTAGTCTTCCTCCTTAACTCCCTTCGCCTCCTCTTCCAGCGACGTTTCAATTGCGTGTTGCAACTCTTGCCCCCCTCTCTCTCCCTATTTATCTGCTCTTCTATTTCCTCTGCCTCCGCGTAATACTCTTGCCAATATATCCCATCATCATACCACTCGCTTTTCTTGTCTGGGGCTTGCCCGGTCTGGTGAATGTGCCAGGAACTATATGCCTGGCTACAATGCTTCGATAGTCTTCGCAGTAGCTGCGCATATATACCTTGAGAAGAATCATCGGGTTGTTCATAGAAACCCACAAGTTACCATGATTAATTCCAGTCAGCCAGGTTATTCACGACTATGCAGGTCTTCTGCAGAAAAGGTTTTGGGTAATAGGATCGTCCACATGAAGACTTGGGGCAAACACGGTCAGGATAGTCTTCGTGATCGAATCATGGTTTGATCTCATTATACGGCCTTCTTGGTAGGTGTTCTAGACAAATGGTGTTATCAATTTTTTGTAATAACGGGGATATAATACTACCAAATCTATGCTTTTGCCCTTATGTACATATAGTCAGCTATCCAATTAAGCAACGTGAACAAACGCTCTCTTCTTAGCATTCCTCTCATCGTTCTCCTCCTCCCAGTTCTCATCCACATAGTCCTTGATGCTTTTATCACGAATCTGCATGCCCACAACCTTGAGAGCAGCAATGTTAACTCCCATCTCATCCTTCTGGCGCTTGAGCGAAGCGCGGAGATTCACGCGGATGCCGTCAAGCATAGCCTTCATGGTGCGGCTGGCAACAATCTGCTTATGGTGCGTTTTCAGCATGAAGAAAAGAATGCGACATGTTAAGGGCATGTTCATGGATCGCATCGCGAAGATGTTAAGGAAAGTGAAGAGGATGGGCACAGAGGCGAAGGGGAGCACCAGCAGTGCATCGTGCAGCGCCGAGGCCTTGATCTTTTGTAAAACAGAGAGGACATATGCCTCGGCGGTGATGTTTCCGAGGGCAAGGAAGACGGGGTTGCGTTGAGGGGGCTGGGCATGAGGGTTTGTGAGTTTGGCTTCCTCGTACTCCCTGAGTAGGTTGAGATCGGCCATGCCCATCTCGAGAGCTTCCGCTATCCTCTCACCAGCCATAAGAGTCTCTGTGGTCTGCTTGCTCGCCGCAGCAACCTCATTATTCTCATCTTGAGCGTCAGGGTCTCGCTCCAGTGATGTTGTAAGAGTGCTCTCGTATAATTCCTCAATCTCCTTCTCGCGCTCTTCCTCGAGGAAAATCTGCTCCTCTGTTTCATCCCAGACTCGGATGCTCTTATCATGGCCGGCACTAACCAAGAGGTTGCCGCTGCGGGCAACGGCAATAGCCCACACTTCGCCATGGTGACCGTCCAGTCTCTGGATCTGCTCGAATTTATCACCATCCCAATATCGGATTGTGCGATCCTTGCTGCTGCTGAAGAAATGGTGGCCGTTGCCATCGTTGTTGTGAGGTACGAAGGCGACCTGAAGGATACTGTCCTGGTGTCCGAAGAGAGCTTTGTGGCAGTCACCAAAATCGAGACCCCATATTCTGATGTTCTTGTCGGCTGAACTTGTGATGATCAACTTGCTGTCAAATGAGATATCCATGCTAAGAACAGGAAGTTTGTGACCGTAAAGATTAAGGTAGAGTTTGAGGGAGTCAACGAAGAACACCTTGACCGTGTTATCGAGGAGAGCAACAGCAATAAGTCGGGCATCTGGTGAAAACTTGAGGCTCAGAATATCGTCAGAAACTTTGAGTGTTCTTGACTGTTGCAGCTTAAGCTTTGGTGTTGTTCTTCTTGTACCGAGCACTTCCTCTTGTACGATCTTGAAATCCCAGAACTTGGCTGTCTTGTCAGCACTGCCTGAGACGACGGACTGGCCATCAGGGTGGACGTTGAGAGACCAGATGGCACCCTCGTGAGCATCGACACTGTCAAGCAATGCAGCCGAAGCCACATCAAAGAGCTGCAGTTCACCACTCTTGGTGCCAACCACAACGACTTTGTCTCCTGGGAGGAAAGAACAGCAAAGCGCATAGCCGCACTCGAATGTCCGAATGCAGTTCTGTGTCTTGATGTTCCAGATTTTCAAGTTACCGTTCGATGCAGAGGCCAGCATCTTATCATCCGAGCTCAGTGACAGCGCCCTGATATCTGTTCGGTGACCGGGGAGTTCGACGGATAGCGCTCTCGTATAATCTGGGACATCTTCCTTCTTTGACTTTTCGCTCTTCTCCTTAGATGGTAGGCTGTAATACTCGAGCAGGTTGTTTGTTGTTCCTACCAGCAGGTGAAGATCCTTTTGTCCGCTAGGGACGGCCCAGTCAACAGAGCGCACCTTGCCTCCTGTTCGCACAATGACATACTGAACAAAGACGTCGCTGATGTCGGCCTTTGAAACATCCACTGGCTCCTCTGCATTAGTTTCCTCCTCAGCGAACTTCCCATCCTTCGCCTTCTCTCGACGTCTTCTTCGCTTACGAGCCAGTGCCTTTTTTATTTCGGCCTCGGACCGTATCCTCCACACATCAACACCCTTTTCTGAGCCATGAACTGCAAAGTAATCCTTCTTTGGGTGGAAGACAACTTCAGTTGTCCTATCCTTGCTCTGTCGATGTAATGTACCACGATCCCGAAGATATTGGGCTGCAGGAGGTGTATCAACTTGACGGGCGCTTAACGCAAGACCATCGGCATCCAACGACCAAACTTTGATCTCACCGTCATTTCCGGCTGTGACACATCCACTGTAGTCTGGCGCCAAACCGAGAGCCCAGCACTCACCGTTGGTCTGCGATATGTGTGTTTCTATGCAGTGCCTTGACGAGAGGTCCCATAACTTGATGAGCGAGTCTTTGCCAGTCGTCAATAGGAAACCATCGTGTGTTCCTTCGCCATCGAGTACCATGGCGTGCGCACCATCTTCATCCTGGACCTGAGGTTCTGGCTCAACAAAATGAAGGCCAGTCACCTGATCCTTGTGTCCTCGTAGCTTAAATTGGCCGACTTCCGTGACAAGATCCCAGATGATGATATCGGTGTCTTTAGAGCCGCTGGCAAGTCTGACACCAGACTTGTCGAAAACGAGTTTTGTGATTGCTGACTTATGACCGTTGAAGTTGAGGATGACGGAGGAAATTTTGCTGTCCCATAATCGAATACTACCATCCTCGTATCCCACAGCGAAAACGTCCTTATCGGATTTGCTTTGCGCAATCGCAGTCACGGGTACCGTGCATCTTTCGTCTCTCCAGCGGTTTGTTATCTCGCCCTTCTTGATATCCCAGCAGAGAACCTCTTCATTCGCTGCGACGATCGCCTGTCCCGCGCCGGTTCCTGTTCGGTCTTTCGAGGACCATACTATGTTCGAGGTCGGCGAGGCGACGACGCCAAAGGACTTGCCATGCTCGTATTTCCTGTTGAAAAGTTAGTTATATTGAGTCGCTAAGCATTTCTCATTAACTTACAGGTACGACTTCACCATTTTTGAGATGTTGCGACCAGAATTGGCCCTTCTTCAATTTTGTCTTTGACAAAAGATCCTAGAATCTTTCCTCTATCCCACGTACCGGAACTTAGAGGGAAATTTTCTTATCGATAAGGACATTATCCACTAGTTCCACTTTGGAGCTCTTTGTCACGTGTCTGCCGGGAGCTTGAGGCTCACCACGTAAGCCCCACTACCCAGGCGTCACCTACTGTAGCATACCACCTAAGCTCCGAGTAACGACGATAGTAAGGGGAGAGTATATCAATCGACCAACAAGATGCTTCTGCTAGACTACCAAAATGTGCTTATTCAGTCGGTTCTGACGGAGCGTTTCTCAGGGTAAGGTCATGCATATACAATTATCTCCAAAAGCAAGAGCTCACAGGTTGTACGTCAGAGCCCCTCCCGCCTCCATTGACCAGACGGTCAGCGACTTTGATGGCGTTACCTTCCATATCTCGACACCCGAGTCTAAGACCCAGATCCTTCTTTCAATCCAAATACGATGCTTCCCCGACCTTGTCAAGTATGGAGCTGAGGAAGTTCTCCAGCGAGAGTATGGCGACTACATGACATCGGTTGAGCCGGGCTTCGACTTCTCTGTTCTTGTGGATTTGGACAACCTCCCAGAATCAAAGGGTACAGCGATATAATCTCCACGACCAAGGCTGACAATGCTGACTATTGACCAGAGGAACGCAATGAGCTAGCACTCAAATTCGCTCTCCTGAAGCGCAACGCGATGGCCGCGCCATTCGAGCAAGCGTACAAGGAGCATTACGCATTGAAGGAGGAGGCATCCAAGTTTACTTCCGAAGAAGCTCCTCAGGGTGTTCGAGAGGGAGGCGAAGTTAAGGCAATTCACTACCGAGAGGAGGAGGCCATCTATGTTAAGGCCAGCCACGACCGAGTTACCGTCATCTTTAGCACCGTCTTTCGCGAAGAAACCGATCGAGTATTTGGAAAGGTGTTCATTCAAGAATTCGTCGACGCTCGAAGGAGAGCGATTCAAAATGCCCCCCAGGTCTTGTTCAGGAACGACGCCCCCCTCGAGCTACAGGGTGTCCCGGGGGTCCAAGACACTGGATCTGGAGATATCGGTTATGTGACTTTCGGTGAGTTTTACCAGCTAATACCGCCAACATCATAACTAATTGAGCCGCAGTCCTCTTCCCTCGGCACCTAACTCCTCAGCGCATGACTGAAGTCATCTCTCACATTCAGACCTTCCGTGACTACTTCCATTACCATATTAAGGCTTCAAAAGCCTATATTCACTCGCGTATGCGAAAGCGAACTGCTGACTTCCTCCAAGGTAAATCATTTCCACTGCATCGGCGCATTTGGATAACTAACAGTGTTCAGTGCTGCGCCGTGCTCGGCCCGAGAACGAGGAGAAGGAGAGAAAGACTGCCAGCGGCAGAACTTTCAAGGTGCAAGGAAACTAAAACATTGCACACATAGTGGTGCCTGCTCTGACGTTGTTCAAGAATCCAGTTAGATGTTGAGCCTATAGATAGGGCGGTTAGTTGCGGGTAGTTGATAGTGAGCGAACGATGCTGTTAAAACCACGATTTGATTTCCCCAACCAAGAACAATAAATAAATCCAAAGCTGGGCAGAATATGAGTCGTCTACAGATTGAGAAACATTGCCAAGTTCCACATATTGGCACCTAATTGACGTGTTACTTGGCTTAGGCACCACCCAATTAGCGGTGGGTAGTCGAACTTCAAGGGTCCGTTAGATCGTGAGCAAGATCGCGCCGACACATGCCGACCTTTTTGATACACCATCAGCAAAGACGGCCCTGGGGTCGCCACGACAATGATATGGCCGTTCGGATCGCGGGACGCCGACAAGGAGAAGGAACAGAAACTTAAAGAAGAGGCGAAACGGCAGCATGTGTCATGGATCGACTCGATAAACCGCATTCGATCAGCACCTTTTGATGCGGCTAGAGAATGGGCGCCCGTTGTACTGTTCCCGCTCGCAGGCATGGCAGCTCTACAAATCTACGCAAATTATCTTCGCCGAATACCCGGATCAGCATATGTGCGCCCGAATTTCTTTCGTAACCGAAGCATCTTTGGCCGAGTTACCAGCGTTGGCGATGGTGATAACTTCCACCTCTTCCACACACCCGGCGGTCGACTTTTGGGTTGGGGCTGGTTGAGAAAAGTCCCCGAAGCTCGCAAAGAGTTGAAAGACCGAACAGCATGTTTCCGATCCAAGGTCGCCCTATCTTCATACTGACAAAGCTTTGGCAGATTTCGATTCGTATTGCTGGCGTTGATGCCCCAGAATGTGCCCACTTCGGACGGCCAGCGCAACCGTTCTCGGCCGAAGCTCTCGCCTGGCTACGAAACTACATCAACAAACACAACGTCCGCGCATACGTCTACAGGCGAGACCAGTACGATCGAATCGTCGCAACTGTGTATACGCGGCGGTGGCTGTTTCGCAAGGACGTGGGTCTCGAGATGATAAAGGCCGGCATGGCAACGACGTACGAAGCTAAGCAAGGGGCTGAGTTTGGTGGACGGCAAAAGATCTACGAAAAGGCTGAGGCGAAGGCGAAGCAGAAACGAAAGGGGATGTGGTCTGGCAAGTCTAAGGATTTCGAGAGCCCAAGAGCTTACAAGACGAAATGGGCTGGCTTTGACCAAGAAAAAACCGGCACTTGAAGATGCCGAGTATGAAACATGATAATTCTAAAACGATGGTTCGATTCGGTTTGCGTAGCATTTTAGACATATACAAGCATGGATGAAGAATGAAGCAAGGTTTGAAATCAATTCTATGAGGTATTGGCATGCCAAATTTGTTATATCGATGCCTGCTTTTATTATTTTTGGCAATATAAGCTCATCATGCAGTCAGAAGACTCGGTTAGGCTGGTTAAGCTGAGCAGAGTGTGGGATCAGCGGGATATATAATTAGCTTCCATTGCCCTAGAAACATGCATTTACTTAACAATGCATTGAAAGACACCAGCATCGACCTTGAACGCATCAGTGACGTTGAGTAGTTCTGAGTCAATCGTTGTCTGACACGTTGGCGGGCATTGACTTACCCGGTGCCAGAGGCGGTTCCTGCAAAGAAAACGAAGTTGTGTTTTAAGCAAGGGGCATGATCCAGAGTGGTTTCATCTGATCAATAACTTTATGTTGGTGTTGCAAAAAGTGATCCATATGAGACAGAAGTAAGAAAACACAACTGCCACTGCTTCCGATTGTGTATCCGTAGCTCATCATCTGTTTGTACACTTCCTTACCTATATCTCGTATAACAGGAGTGGGTAAAGCCACTTAGATTGATCCATCAACATAAGGTACTCAGCCCCGCGATGGTATATTCCCAAGCTTTAAGTCAAGGCTGTAGCTCTATCAAAATGTTGGGAACATGCGTTTAAGATAGTTCCATCATCCTCAAGAATTACTCACTTATTGATACAATACGCAAAGCACTCCCTTATTCAAAGGCAAGACGAGGAATAATGCTCGACAAGGTATGGTGTCAGATGCCACACCCAAGAATCCTTGCCTTGTTACCAGCCTCCTGAGTTCAGCGCGACTAGGAGTAAAAAGTAAATGGAGCAGCAACAACGCTGCCTACCGCCTCTTAGTGCTAGAGTTTATTATGTACCTAAACAGTCTTCTAGACCATTGCTAGCATCTTGCAAGTCATGGCTTGACAAGGGTTAGTACTTCAACGGTCAGAAGTCGAGATCAGGAGTTGAAGACCAAAGGTTAGCAAATGATGTAGATAATGCAGCAGCAAACTCTTCATGTAAGCCCCCTGCAGAAACAAGAATATCTCGTATTGAACAGCATCCGCCTGTGGTATTTCTGAGATCCATTGTAATGGATTGGATGGAAATGAATTCCATGTGCGTCCATGGCAGTTTCCAGCAGGCTTGCGGCGCCAGAAACAGAAGCTCCACTTATCCCCTGGAAGCCAAGGCGAACCTAAACGTGCAACTCTTCCCTCTCTCCTAATTCTCACCTCATCCTCCACGAGAATTCTTAGCATTAGAGCTTTTGTGAGAAGAGGGGATACTTATCTTTGCATTGCTTTGCCTTGCAAACTGTCACTCGTTAAACACTGTTTCTTCTTCTTTCCATTGTTTGTATTTTCCAGCGCAGCCACTGTGTTATTCCTAATACACCGCTCAGCCGACTCTAGAATCAACATAACGGTTGAATACTTCAACCGACACTACGGTATTCGCACTCATTAATACCGCTTCCTTTTCTTATCTCGATTTGCTACCGCCCTTTCGACAAGCTGCAGTAATCCGGTATCACCCAACCATCTTGTGTGGCCTAATTTTGCATTTCAGCCGTTGTTGACCCAGAGACACGATATCTGGTTTCTCATTCTTCCCAACACGCCGCTCAAATACCTGACCGAAGAACACGGACGCGTACAGAACTGACGAGGCACGCAATTAAAGAGGCATCCCGTCACCCCACATTTCCGAAGCTGTAGGACTTGCGAGAAATTCGCTGTTCAACAAAGAACTGCAAAGTCAATTGATCATCACCGGTGACGAGATCACTTGATACGAGGACGAAGCTCGCCGATAATTAAACTCTGGGTATCTCCTCTCGAGTTCATTGGTTCCTGAATCAGTACGGTGGCGCTCTCTACTACCCGTGGCTGTGATACGTACCACAGTTGCACACCTTGAAACCGCTTGGTATGTCTCTTTTCTCCTACTTCTTGAGTACAACATATGATACTGAATTGCTCTGGTTGTGCAATTTATTTTTATATGACTCTTTGCCCACTCTTCGTTCCCATCACTCTATCTATTACGACGCTGTTATTTCGGTTGCTGCTTTGTTGTTTGCCGTCATCCCACCCGACACCCATGCAAGCCAGGTGCTTCAGGTACCGCATTGCAGTGAAAATAGTAGACTAACCGCGTTAGGCTAGTGGCTAGATCCTCGAAATTCAATGCACGTTGAGAGAACGGGCATCGCCATCGCTAGCAATTTCCCGCATACGTGCTGCAGTAGCATTGCCTGTCGCTCAACTTGAATCTTTCAAACCCCGACTTTCCACCTCGATTACATACTTTCGACTCTTCTTCTTCTGACAATATCGACCACGACGAACTCTCCGACTACAGCGAGCCTAATTTCTCTCATTTTCGGGTTTTTAGTAAGACGACATCTTCCAGTTGGCGCCTCGATTCGCATCACTCCCGCTCTCGACCGTTTGAAAACGCGATTCTTCGCCCCTTGATATGGCCCACACTTAATCCTGAGATGCATGCACGAATAAATTCAATTCCGACGACCACGGCATTTGACTTCCCTGAACAGGGACACAATACGGATTCGGTGGCCAGACAGACGATTTCGATATACGGCGACGATTTATAGTTATGCGATTGCCTTTTCAACGGCGTAGCCTATCGGCACGCCAAAGCCACAGCCTAGGTCCCGTTCTGGGTCCCAGCCTGGCGGCTTTAGCAGCTCTGGCGCCTTCTCTCACACATGCCATAACATTCAATCCTGTGCCGTCGCCAAATCTAGACTTCTCTAACCTGGGCAGGATCGGCATAGTTGGAGATTATGATGGAATTTCACTTTATGAATACGAGGGACAAAGAGAGAGCACTCGCAGCTCTAACGGTAGCGAGTCACTTCTGGCACAAATGCCCAACGGCGCTTTCGCTTCGATATTATCCACCGATGCGTCGATTAGAGCCATGTGCTCGTTCCAGCTCAGTAACGGAGAAATGCAAGGAGTGGTAATTGGCGGTAATTTCACGAGCCTGGACGGGACACAGTCAAAGGCAGTTGCTCTTTTCAACCCAAACACGACCGAGATCACCCCTTTGGACGGAATTGAGGGCGAGGTCAACGCTCTATATTGCGACCAGGAACGAGACACGGTCTATGTGGGTGGCAATTTCAAGGGCGCTAACTCTACCAATGCCATTGCCTGGGTTGGTACGGATGGATGGACAAACTTACCGTTTGCTGGCTTCAATGGCCCTGTGAAGGCCATCACAAAAGCTTCTAACGGGCACATAATTTTTGGTGGTACTTTTACAGGCCTTGGAAACTCGAGCACACCCAACGAATCTTCAAGCCAGGTCATCAATCTATCGACAGCTAACATTACGGACGAGAATGGATCTTCTGGCACTGATCCCAAGGACATCGTATGCCCTGGTTCTTCGGCGACTCCTTGGTTATTGCAAGACGATACGCCAGGATACTGGGAAGCAGATTTCTCTTTTGGGTTTGCGCCTACCAAGCTCAGACTTCGGAACACACGTCAGGATGGTCGTGGCACCAAGACCTTCCGCTTCCTCGCGTATCCTATCAATGGAATCATGAACTTGACCTACGTCGATCCCGAGAGCGGTAACAACGTAACCTGTACTAGCGAGTGCCCACTCAGCGACGGCGACGATTATCAGGATTTCACATTTGTCAACCGTGTCGGCATGAATAAGTTTCGCATTGCTATTTCCGATTGGTATGGCAGTGGAGGTGGTCTGGAGAGTATCGAGCTGTTCCAGAGCGACATCTATGCCTATGCTATTTCTGACTTCAACGAACCCAAATGTGGCGGAGTTAAGAACCCAGCTTCGGCTACCCACACCGGGCCTTGGAAGGTTTCTCCCTCGCTGGAGAGCAGTTCCGAGTATCTGACTGCTGAGCTCAACGGTGACTATGACCCCGAAAAAATATCTGTTACATTTTTCCCCAATATCATCGAATCTGGAAACTACTCTGTCAACATCTATACCCCAGGCTGTCAAGCTGATGATAGCTGCGCAACTCGAGGCCGTGTTAATATTACTGGAGTCATGTCAGGTGACAATGATAAGGATACTAATTTTACATCGACTTTATATCAAACAAACGACTTTGATAAGTACGATCAGATTTATTTCGGATACATTGAGAAGAGCTCGGGTTCGTTCACGCCCTCTGTCACCCTCCGCCCACTTGCAGGACAAGATGTCGACACCCTTACCATTGTCGCTCAGAGGGTTGAATTCACCCTTACCAACTCTACTGGCGGCCTCAACGGTCTCTTCGACTTCGATCCTGAGCAAGCAGTAGTCAACGCCTCAAGTATTGTGAACTCCCCTATCAATAAACTTGGCGCAAGTTTTGACAGGGCCTCGGGTGTAAGCGTTTTGGTCACGGATAGCAATACTACCTACGTTGGCGGCAACTTCACCTCCAAGGATCACGACAACATCCTCGCTATTATCGAAAATGACGATGTGAAGGAGCCTGGTGGTGGCCTGAATGGCGAGGTCTTCGCCATGTATCTCAACGCCACACAGCTCTATGTCGGTGGTGACTTTTCTAACACTGACAGCGGACCTGTGACTGGCCTGGATAATGTTGCAGTATATGACACCAATGAAGACAAATGGAGTGCTTTAGGAGCTGGCCTTGACGGTCCTGTGACGCATGCTGTGCCACTGATGCTCAACATAACTGCCGATACCCCTGAACTCGTTATCGCTTTCACAGGAGAGTTTTCTTCATGCAACTCCTTTGGCAACTATGATGCCATATCTGTGGATGGTTTTGCCATATGGGTAGCTTCTGAGAGCAACTGGTTGCAAAACATCAACGGCAATTACCCTGCTTTTGATGGTTCACTCACATCCGCTGTCCTAGACATTCCCATGGATGGCGGGTCTCTGTACGCTGGAGCTCTTTCGTCCGCACAACTCGGTACAAACGGCGCTGCGACCCTCTCAGACGATGGCCTTGGTCAGTTCCCTCTCAAGATCCGAGCTGCTACTCCATCGTCAAACTCATCTGCACTGAGCCGTCGAGATGTTACTTCCTTCAACAAAAACACCACGGGCGTTGTGACCGGTATATTTTACGACGAAAACGATTACAACATCACCATCCTAGCTGGCCATTTTACGACCGAGTCGACAAAGGGTGATAAGGTACAAAACATTGTCCTTCTCGAGGATGACAATGTCGCTGGACTTGGTTCTGACATTTCAAATGGTTCTACATTTGTCGCCCTCGCTGTGCGGAATGGCATTTTGTTCGCAGGTGGTGATATCAGTGGCACCATAGACGGGACAGACATCCGTGGCCTTGTTTCATATGATCTGGAGTCAAAATCGTTCAATTCGCAGCCGGCCTCCGTATCGGGGGCCAACAGCACCGTCGCGGCTATTGCTGTCCGTCCTGGAGACTCTGGTGACGTTTATGTTGGCGGCTCGTTCGACACTGCGGGTGCGTTGGACTGCCCTGGTCTCTGCACCTACAATGTCAACTCTGGCCAGTGGAACCGTCCGGGCAGCGAGCTTGAGGGTACCGTTTATAGCCTCTTGTGGTTGAGCAAGAACCAGTTGGTTGTTGGTGGTGATCTCCGCGGTAACGGATCTGACCAGCGCTTCCTTGCCAGCTGGGACGCCAACTCAGAGTCATGGTCAAATTTCCCTGGGTCTGAAGACATTCCAGGACCTGTTGCGGTCATCTCGCCTGGATCAATCGATTACGACCAGCTCTGGGTTGCTGGTACTTCGCTCAAGGATGATAGCGTCTTCGTAATGAAGTATGATGGTGATAAGTGGCATACTGCCGGACCTTCCCTCTCTTCAGACACGATCATACGCGGCTTGCAGGTCTTTCCGGTGACTGAGGATCACGAAGCTGCCGATTTGTTGGACAAGAATCAGGTATTGATGTTGACAGGCTCCATCGACATCACTGACTTCGGAGTTGCCTCAGCAGCTCTCTTCAACGGCACAACATACCAACCATATGCGATGACAATCAAGGCGGGCGATGGTCCAGGCACTATTGCTGGCATCTTTACCCAGCGTGACAGTTTCTTCAAAGAAGGTAAGTTTATCACTGATCTTGTGGCCAACGAACCGTACTAACCCCAAGTTAAGAAAAGCATATGGCTCTGGGCTTTGTGGTTCTTATCGGACTTGCTATCGCACTTGGTCTAATGCTACTCCTCGTCCTTTGTGGCATCATTCTCGATCGCATTCGCAAGAAGCGGGAGGGCTACGTCCCTGCACCTACGTCCATGTATGACCGGGGCAGTGGAATGCGACACATCCCACCTCACGAGCTCCTCGAGTCTCTTGGTCACGGGCGAGGTGGTGCACCACCACGTGTCTAAGAAAAGGAGAAAAAGAAAAGAAAAAAAAAAGATTCCCGATTTCTGGGGAATGTCGTCATTTTAGCAAGCTGCATACGTGTCTGATTTGATACCTTTGGCGTTCTGGAAAGGTGTATGGGATTATTTTCGGACCAGGGAAGTCCATTGCTATTTTCGAACATGGAGACCCAATACTGAGATCCCAGCATGAGCATATGGGCTCTTGATCCCAAAAGTCGAGACCATATCGTTCAAAAAGCTTCGGCTTGAAACTAAGTCCCTACTTCGGCTGGATCCTGGAGAGGGCATCCCCAACGGCAACCAGTTCGCCTCGACGTCTCGAGCCATGTTCTCCCAGTACCTCACCGCATTTCTCTTGTTTTTTACTTCGCTTCATGAGGTCATGACCCACCGGTTAATGTCTACCTGTTTATTCTTTCTCTTCGACATTCATACATAGATGCCTTTGTTGACATGTCGTCTCTTCTCGCTGTATATTACCTTCTTCTACGCAGTTTCCGACCCCTAGACTGCTGAGGACCTCAGGCTCTGTACCTTTGTTCCTCTTTCAAAATTCTGTTGCTGTGGAAGGCCTGGAAGGAGAACTCGAACTATTTGAGGGCTGGAGATGGTTATCTGGTGGCTCTAGTTGAGGATGATGTGGTCGATGGCGATGCGGTTAGAAGAAGCCATCTAGCACCAAGTATGGTGATATGATACTCAGCTGACGGTAGAGTAGCTTAATTTGAGTGGTTATAGCCCTCCGTGCGTTCCCGCCTCCCACATATGTGACTTGGTGTAGAGAAGAGATCGTCTCTGTAATCTTTCTATGGACTTCACCCTCGAGGGTCAATAAGAGCAGGGCAATAAATACATATACATTCGTGTAAGTTCCCAATCTAGCATCTTAAAACTACGAGTATTATCTCCAAGTTCGCTCATAACTTTGTAGGTTATTCAATACCTGCTGGTGGCTTCATTTCTTGAGCAGGGGAGTCTGTGAATCTCCCAGTACTATAGTGTTTCTTGCAACATCCTGACCTCTGAACCTGTTTATTTATGCTCTTTCTGTGGGACTGTACAGATGCGCGATGCTACGTAGCATAGGATTTGGGTTCGAAATCGCTCTCGTGTCAGCCCATTCTTAAGACGAGCTTTGACTCTGTCTCATAATGAAGAGGCCGAGGCCACACCGATTGGACCTTTGTGTTGTAACAGCCTGGGGGAGCAGCTTGTCTTATCTTGTCCTGTGTTGTCTTGCAAGCTCCCTCTGTCGTGGTAGATGGAGATAACTCTGGGGTAAAGCACAAGAGAATTCTCCAGAGTGGGCTGACTGTTTCCGTTTGGTAGTCAAGTGAGGCGGATGATGACCTTTCGTTGTCTCTGAATAGAACAAGCGGCCATGCACGCTTGACATACGCTACGAGGATGCTCCTTGCTTGGGGTACGGTTACCGTTCAAGTGACATGCCTCAAGACCGGCGTTCCTGGCCTAGAGTTGGTATGCATTTGAACTTTGAAAGGGTCTCGTTTCAGAGATGTTCACATCATCGGGCTATTCCTCGACGGCAAAAGTCTGTTAAGTCGCAATCACAACTAATTGTACTGTTTACGGTTACCCTAGACCCCAAGCATCAGGTTCAGCCAAACGCTTACAACTGCCGTTATATGTATATAACTTGCATAACATCATATTTACAGAACGAGGTAATGCTCTCTGTCCCTCTCTGCTGCACCGCGATACCTCTACATGAAGATACATAACCTAGACGGGGTTTTCGAGGGCTCAAGACGCACGCTGTCACTTCGCGTATAGCCAAAATCCACAGCAAGGTCGAATGTCGTATTTGTGAACCCTGTGATGAGTGCCAAGGAAACTTTGTTTTCCTTCAAAGTGGATCAGATCGGGTTCAGTGAAGACATCGTGGTTGTTGGGCGAACATCGGAAGCACAGAACCGTCGTATGTGATGCAATGCTTACAGCAGACTAATGCCGGTAGCAAAAGACAAGGCACAAACAATAATGACAACTACCTAACTAAACAGCCTTGCCTGCAATTGCGCTGAGGCCTTACTTGGCTTGTGAGGGGCATTACTCCCTAGCCTCATGTTAGCAGCAGATCGATGACGCTGCAGACATGCCTTATCACCCCGCCGCAACCCTCTTCCGTTTGCCTCTAGTTAGGTAGCGGGTAGGTAGGCCTAGAGATTCGATGGTTGGTTGTTCACCTCCCTGCATCTGCCCGTTAATGACAGCCCAAGCAGGATTCCAAGGGTCAACACCAACCCGAAGTCATCATGCTCCATGACGCAAACTCTTCTCTTTCCTCCCCTCCTTCATTGTCAAGCGCCGGCCGAAAGCTGCAAGGACGGATGCAGTCCGAGAAGCCAACAGCATCACGGAAATGGGGCCTTACCGGCGCCGCCACTGCATCATTAGCAACACCCAACGGTGCAGTGCCATACTAACACCTCGAGTCCTTTGGGAATACAAACATGATGGACTAGCAAGCAGCACTCAGCGCCATAAACAGTATGGAAGAGGTACGACACGAGACGACACGGGATATTCCATAGCAGTGGGCACCACCTGAGCCAACCACAGTAATGTCTAGTCAGTAAGCCAAGACAACGTGTAGCCTAGCAGTGGACGACGTCGATAGGTGCTCAGAAGGAACAATAGGAGATAAACGCGTTGCGGGGACCATTGCCGGTGGCAATAGTGGACGCGAGGGTGTGGAGTTCACGTTAGCCATGTGCAAGATAGAGCCCATCACTGCAAATTACTCTACCGCCGGCGCCGCGGTAGTTGAGTTGCCCAGTGAATGATGGCAATTACTGGAATCCCATACAATAGACGTACCGTATACGTATGCATGGTCGTACCTATCGCCTTGGCTGAAAACATGGCGCTCTGGGAAAGCCAAAGAGCCAGATAAATCGTTCCGTTTGCATGTCTCGGCGATTTTACGGGTGCATTAACGCCTCGTCTGTTCTACCAAACGCCGCGCAATTTAACATCGACGACAAGCAGAGTGTAACAGAGCTGTATAACGTAGACTGAGTATCGTGTTGACCCCTGGGACGTTTGCAGGAGCGATAGAATATCGAGTCAAGAAATGGTGCTGCAGAGCCATGACATGACTGAGATGACATCCATGGCCATGCGACTAGTCCGAATTCCGCCTCGTCGAGATGAGGGTACAACTTCCAATGGATGTTATCAAGACAAGACCAAAATGATTCAGTTGAGCAAAAACGACCGCTTCCGCGCTTCTCTTGTCAGTGGAAGATGTACTGGGGTAAACAATGGGGGAGCAGTGGGCCCCCGGCACTGAGTCGGTAGCGCGCTTCTACTTCTGCACCTCAAAAGACTGACTTGACTTGACCAGGAGAGACAAGGCGGGAGGCGCGCAGGGGTTAGTCAAGTACCGTGAGCTCCAACCTAGACGAGCTAAGGCAAATTGAATGGAGCTTGGCAGAACAAAAGATCCTGAGAAAACCCCAGTAACAGTACCCAAACCAACCCAACAAGGTTCTGATGGATGGGGACTGAGAGGGCTCCTCGACCTATCTGCACCCTTGGCCACACACTACACACTCCTGTTCCTCCCAACTGACATGGACTGGCTACACCTGTGGCCTGTCCGATGTCATGTAAGTGATGGCCTCATCACTCAATCAATCCCTAGTTTGCGGTGGACATCTCAATATTTCCTCAGCCCTGCCCCTTGTTGGCAGCCTGGTACCAGCTGAAAGGTCCCTTTCCATCATGACCCTGTCATGTATCATGGCGCCAAGCGATTGCCCCCTTGGGTCACGTTGGGTGATAGAGCCGCTAGCAAAAACAACGTTGCGTCTGCGGTTGCAGTCTAAATGTGCGTATTGCCCAATGGAGCCAGAGTTGGTCCATTCGAATAAACGCGCTAGACTTCAAGACGACTATGCCAGGGGCCTCGTCTAGGTTCCCACGATATCCAAACACCAAACAACCTTCGATGACATGAGACAGGTCTACGTGATCTGAGTGCACGGGTGTTGTTCTTGGGTTCGTGACGATCAATTTTACCCGAACACTTGGGAACCGCTTTGCCATACAGTGCCTCACTCGAGAGTTCAAGGTCTAGAGTCAAGGTTCAGTTATACCATCATGCTCTGGAGCGGACATGAATCCGAGTGGCCATGAACTTCAGATCTGTCTTCAAATGAGCAACGGGCGCGACAATGCGCACGGTCGCTAGAGCGGAGGCTCCTCTTGTCGTCCATCCAGCTGTGTCCCGTAAATCGGAGCCCCTCCTGAAAGCCTTCTCCCTCAACAGACTCGACTTGACAAGTGATAAGAGTTGCCGCGTCAGCTAAACCGCAATGATTGAATCAAGCCCTGGCTCTTGATGCCCGTGAGACCCAACTCAACTGGGTCCATACCATATACTCTTCCTCACCAGGAATCAGTCTGAAGAGTGAAGACCCGCTATCGGGATGCCGAAAACGCTCATTGTCTCCACCCCATCATAGGCCATCATGAACAGGTTCACCCGTCTCTGAGCGGCTCCTGTTTTGACTCGTGCGTCTGTTATGCTTCTTCTCTGTGGCACCGGCTTTGCTGCTTCCCGAGCTGCTAGTTGCGCGCCAACATGCACCCGCTATCGCCAGCCCCGCAGCCGTGCCCATCCAGTGCAGACACGGCTGTATCTAATTGCCTGTCCTGCTACCGGCCTGAGTTTGCTCCGGACGCACCGGCCGAGTCCGAAGAAAGAAATAGAGGGGCTCTGCGATGGTGGTACCTTGTCGTCTTACATTGACATCACAGGTTCATCAAAAGTCACACGGGACTGGGATTGGTGTAAATCCACCATTGTAGAAAGGCGGGACGCTGCGGAATAGATTCCCTGGGATTGATAAAGGGAGATTAAGATTGAGGCGTCAGATCGAACAACACAGGGGCAGGTCTTGGCAGCGGATTGGATGATCCCAAAATGCTGGGGAAGATGAATATCACTCCTGTCAGGTAACTCAAAGAGGTCCATTTATCTCAACTGTGGTACAGTACGATACAGTGCTGTATTCAGTTCCCAACAGGATGGTTCAAGGAAGATTCATCTTGAAGATCACCGCTGCACTGGTGCTCAACACGTGTTGCGTGGACTGAACATCAGTCCGTTCGTCAACCATTGCCACGGGTTCATAGAAACCAACAAAGTAAGATCTACATTTCACAATCTGGGGTGACTCAAACTTGTCGATACATATCGCTCGAGGCTATTCGAATTTCGTATGTTTTAGTGCCTGTCCGTTTCAAATGAGGCTCGAGTCCACCATAGCACGTCAACACTGGTGTCCAATCTCGTTATAATGACATGGTTCAGGTAAAATCCCCTTAGACTAGTTGCACCTGGTGATGATCTGAGTACAACCTGGCTGGTGGGTTGCGATAATAAGTATTTTGTCTTGGGAGGATGACTCGTGGGGGCAATATTCAAGACCATGTAGGTCCTGTTCTCTGGTATTGCTAGTACGTAGGTAGTTTGTGAGGGTGACAGCTGGGATCGAGAGATACTATCGAGCCGTGTATCGCCACCTGGAAGCCTTTGCCCCAATGCGCGTTTGATGCACGCCCTGAGCATGGATTGAAAACTGCTGCCTGGATGCGATACTTATCGGACGTTGTATGTCGGGACGTACGTCCAGTGACGTTTGTGATCATGGGTTGATTGAGTCCGGGGAAAGAAACACCCTACCTAGAGATGGCAGGAAACAAACTCAAACTCAAACTCAAACCAGCGCCATCGGCTCTTCTTTCGCTGTAATATCACAAAACCCACTTGCTAATCTTGAATGCGAGATGAGATTTGATGGAACAATATCCAATTGATAGAGAATCCAAGCTGAGGCAAAGAAGATACAGTCAGGTGTGCCGTCGGGGTTGCAGTCGTTGACCGGGAATATTTTGAGGCGGGCTGGGGAATGCTGGTAGATTCTGAGACATACCCCTGCAAAAAGGTCATCGCTGAATGGCTTGATTGCCCCATTCATGGAACCGTAAACCCATAATTTTCACTCTTGATGCCCCTTCAAATTTTCACAAGCAATGAGCGTTTCTCAGAGGCACAACCACCAGCTCGGGGAGTCCGATATCTGCAACCCAAACCAGGACTTGCTTGTCTTCACGGGCATATTAGCCTTCTAGAAAACACAAGGAAGTTTTGCAAAGTGCAACCTCGTGAAACAGCAGCCCAATCGGAGTTCATTATGTGTGTAACGTGGGCAACGTCTGTATCAGCTCGCCTGCCAGCCCCGTAGTGATCGACAGGTCGTCAATCTCGGGTATCAGGACGAGCTAGATGAACTAGCAGAAAACAACAGGTGTTGTATTGCAAAAGTGTAGGGACCGTGTATCTGAAGGGTTACGTAAAATAATGTAATTTTACAGTCGTGAATATTGAGAGATATGTTAATATTGGAAGTGGTGCACGGGGCGAAAGTTGCTTCCTCAAAACCCATGCTCAAGACACTGTTTCGTGTGCTCAAAGAGCCGGATCGACACCATGAAGACAACGCTTGTCGGGATAGCGTCGGCATCGCTGACAAGGCGCAGATTCGAATGCCGGAGGGTAATGATGATCGCAAGATCTGGGAGATAATCACAATTAAAACCTTGCTGGGGCCCCTTGCGCAAGATATGTTTCAAACATCCCTTTTCGGCTCGCGCTTTTCCAATTAGGAATAGTTGGTTCCATTAAGTCTTTCCTGTCAGAAAATTACCGTCCTGGCAGCCTGTAGGAGGCTCGGCTGGAATCCGTATGACGGCCAGAGTTCCTTCTACCCAACCTGTGGTACTGAGTTACTCGAAGACTAAATGATCTTGCCACTTTTCATTGAGCCCAAGTCATGGCAATATCCTTGCAGCTGTGGATTTCTTTTCTTCTGTACCGTACAATATAAAGGGCTTTTACCAGATGTTGCTTTTCCATACCGGTACCTGGACCATTTGGTTCGTGGTCACTCGCATGTGTCTTCATGAGAGCTGGAGTGGACGAGCAGACTGCAGAAAGTGCCCAAGGACTTGCTAGGAAACATTGGCAATGTCGACAGCCAAGAGCAAATCTTAATCCGTAGCGGTCTGTGACGGCTGGTCCGATCACTGTCTGGGGCCCCCCTATTGTTTTCGTCGTTGACCCATCCTAAGCAGCTTCCTCTTGGCCTTTTGCATTTCCCATGCTTGGTCACATCAGATTCACGGCCTAAGACAGTTTGATGTTATTCCCGTAGCGGGTCGAATGAAGAGGGGGGTCACCCTAATCGACGACTGGCTGTATCCGGGTCTTCATGTGTCGGGGGGACGCCACTCCCATCATTGCTACAGCGAACGGGGCGGGTCTATCGTGTACGCTATGGCATACTACGTAGGGCACTAGGTGTGAGGGCTGCAAGTGTGCTGCGGATAAAATACGGACATGTTATTACTCTCGACATTGATGAGGGAGGCAGTTGGTTTGAGGAGAACAATGTGTCGTCGACTTGGTACGTTTTGGCTGGATTGTAGCGATTAAATGCTTAAAAGACCCGATCGACAGAGAGAGGTAAACTCCTTGACTCTACTATGCCTTAGGAAAAGAAGGACCCCGCATCGATTACAACGTGCTTAGGTAGGAAGTTTAGGTGCCTACCTACCTAATTAGGTAGTGTATATTCGAATGTTGTTAGATTTCGCGGAAGGGTTGTTCCTTCATACCAAATCGAGAGAAGGTAGCAACCAGTGCAGCACATTTGTTCTTTCGATTCCTAGGCAACCTTTTCCGTTCATATCCAGAGGCTAGAGCGAAAAGCCAACACACGCACACAGCGAATCACCCACCCATAACTCTAATTGATACACGATACATGACACGGCACTGAGTTTGATCTCCCCGAAAAGGCATTCTAATGATCAGGAGCCGTTCCCTAATATGGAGGCGGCGTCGAGCTAGCAGAGATACCACCATGGGGCAAATCTGAGCACAGGCAAAGCCACGCACGCCAAAACGTTCATTCTCAAGCGTTCAATCTAACAAAAGGCCTTTACCAGCGAAAGGTCAAGTAAAACACCCAGACAAATTACCATGTCGCAATACTCCAACCACACAAAATTGGGGGAGGCAAAGGGCTCCAACCCTTGGCTACCTATCTACCTACCTAGGCAGGAATTGTTTAGTGCCTTGGCCTAACAATTATCCGCGCTCATTATCCGCGTTCATCGGATACTGATGCTGATACTGATTCTGGATACTACACCAAGATCATAGGCGGGCATATATATGCAATGCGTTGTTGTGCCCCACGAGGGTTGAAGGCCGGCGCAACAGGGCAGGTGGAAAAGTAGGGGACATTTTGGACTCCGTACTAGGGAAACAAAGCCGACTCGCGGCGTGCATATGGCATCACTGCAACACCACTTTTGGGGAGTCATGGTGGCTCTCCGTATGCTGTTCCAGTGAGTGAGAGTGACAGTGGCGCTGTCCAACATCGTTTCTTGAGCAGCGTGATGACGGAGATGCCAGAGGTTCTCAGGGTCTTGTCGTTTGTTTGGTCTTGCACGGCCTTGTCAGTATTGAATTGTCTTTGCCCTTGTCAAAGCTCCTGTGGCCTTTCAAGGGCTCACAACGTCAGTCAGTTGCCATCCTATGCCAGGCCATCCTGGACCGTTGATGTCAATGCCCTTTGGTCACCCTCCACCGTGTGGTAAGTTATCGTGCATGCCCATGGTATGGCAGATGAGCAATATCAATGTCAACGTCAAGGCAATGCGAGAGCATGGCATGCCTCTGCTAGCCCCTAGCGTCGCCCTCAAAGGCTGTTTCAATTCCTTCACCGTCTCGCGTTCCCGGCGTTTCTTGTCT